GGGGGGGGGAGAGAGAGATAAACCATGACATAAGCAACAACCCAAACCCAAGCGAGAACGCATGCGCAAGCGACAGGGAAAGGGCAACTCGACTCAACCCAGCCAAGCCAGCCAAGAAAAACCTAGCAAACCCGATACGAAACAAAGTTTCCAGACCCCCGCCGAATGCGGAAATCCGTCCAACAGGACACAAAACGCAAACGTACCAGGATTCCTGGGCATAATGCCAGGTTTCGTTCGTGCCCGAATGGGTTTGTTCTTCGAGCCAGCGTTCCACGCTGATGGGGAGCTGTTGCATCGACGGATTGCGCCCCGTCAGCGCTTGCAGGGCGCTGTCCCGCCGGTGGGGGTCGGAGGTGGGTGCGGTGGAGGATGCGCCGGCGGCGGCGGTGGCGGCGCGACGGCGGCGACGGTGCCACGTTATAGCTCTTGTGTTTTGCCATATTGTTAGTCTTGATGTTGGTTATGGTGGTGATAGCTGTTGAAGAGCGTTTGGTGATTTTGGGGGGTGGTATAGGGTCTGGTGAGGTCACTGTTCGGTGGCCCTGCCCTCCCCTCATCCTTTACCCCAACTCAAAAAAAGAAAGGAAGAAAGATCCCAAGACTCCCCCAAGCTCTTGGCGCCATGATAAGTGGTACGCCGGAAAACGAGATCAGATCTTGGCGGGTTTCTTGGAGAGGCTCTTTGGGGGATTAGTAGGGCTGGAGGGAGGGCAGGGGGGCATGTGGGTGGGCGGAGACCACGAATGACGAATATCTCACGAATGAGCGCCCAACAGACAATTGAACCGCCGCGGGGAAAGCAGATAGAGAAGAACTTACATCGGCAGAAAGCTAATGACGATGAATAAAGCCACGGCTCCGATGATCACGCCGACGATTTCGCCACTTGGGGGGGGAGGGTCGTGCTCCGCCATCGGCAATGAGACTTGATAAAGTGATATATGATATGCGAAGCGAAATATGATCAGGGAATCGATGGGGACCACGTGAAGCTGCGATGCGTGAGAGGTATGATGTATAGACGTATTCCTACAAGGAATATGGATGTAAGAACAGTCAGACAGACACGCAGGGCATTCACTCGTGGCAAGCAGGAGCAAGCATAAGATCAGTCGAAAGAGCTAATGCAGTAGGAGTAGATAACTCAGCAGAGGGGGAGAAAAGTAAGAGAAACAAAAAAATTAAAAAATAAAAAAAAGCTGGTCCAGCCGACCGGGGGTGGGAACACTTTAAAGCGTGTCCCCCTATTTTATTTCTCTAATGCAGTGTTGCTTTGTTGTTTCAAGGCATCACGCAGGAAGGACCGAAGGGAAACGGGAGCAAACACGAGGACTACCTAGAATGCGATGCATCTTCCCGCCAAGGGCTGGGCTGGGCTAGGCCTCTTCTATCTTTCTCCGCGCTGCGGAACCAGCTTGGCTGTGAACCAGCGGGTAAGTTACAGTACACTCCTCGGCTCAACGAATCACGTCCTCCCACTCAGCCCATGCAGCCCATCCGGTCACGGTCTTCCCCAGACTTGGAACCATGGATAGAGGCACAACTGTCTGCGTCATGGTCGCAGCGGCGAATCCCCTCACTGGATTGGTGGGACTCTTGGCGGGATCTGGGCATGACATTTTCCCCAATTGCCTCCCAAATTCACCCACTGTCTCAGTGATGGGCTTCTCACCGAAGCGAGGTATGCCGAGCGTGGGTGAATGGAGGTAATCGGAGATGATAGAGTTATTTAAGGCTGTGTCCCCTTGCGTTCCTCGGTTCCAGGACAGATTCCAAATCGATCAGATACCAGATCTAGCTAGGTCCTTTGTATTCAGCAAAGAAATCTAGACGATTGATGAGTTGGATGGTTTAGAGCATACTGCCATCATCTATGACATCTTTTAGATTGCTTGCTTTTCTTCTCTCTTGATTATCAATCTACTCCGAATGAACCACCTGACTCGATTGGAAGATGAAATCCAAGTCTAGTAGCGGCGACAACAGCACCCCCCGCACGCATCTGTCCCAACCGGCGCACTCCTTACCCTGGGAGGCCATCCTCCAGGAACTCCATGTGAACCCAGACCAGGGCCTCTCCAGTGCCGAGGCGGCCACGCGGTTGCAGCAGGATGGGCCGAATGAGCTGGAGGATGACGAGGGGGTCTCGTTGTTGACGATTGTGATTCGGCAGGTGGCGAATGCAATGATGCTGGTGCGTTTACTGTCCTCTTCCCCTATCCTCTACACCTTCGATGGAAGGGAAACAAGCTAACAACGTCCAGGTCCTCATCATCGCCATGGCCGTCAGCTTCGGGATTCAATCCTGGATCGAAGGCGGGGTGATCGCCGCGGTGATTGGGCTGAATATCGTCGTGGGCGTGTACCAGGACTTCGCGGCGGAGAAGACGATGGGGTCGCTGCGGTCGCTGAGCTCGCCGACGGGCACCGTCACCCGCGACGGCAAGACCAAGACGGTGCCGGCCAAGGAGCTGGTTGTGGGCGATGTGGTGGAGTTGAAGGTGGGCGATACCGTGCCTGCCGATGTTCGGTGAGTTTGCCTCCGCCCAACCCCAGTAACCCTAACTGCCCCCCTCCCTTCTCAAAAAGAAGGACAGCGACATACTAAACAGCGCTAGTCTCTTCGAAACCATGAACCTCGAAACCGACGAGGCCCTATTAACAGGAGAATCCCTCCCGATCGCCAAAACCCCGCACGACACTTATGCGGCGGAAACCGGGCCCGGCGACCGCCTCAACATCGCCTACAGCTCGACGACCATCACGCGGGGCCGCGGGCGCGGCATCATTACCAGCACGGGCATGGCCACGGAGATCGGCCTGATTGCCGCCGCCCTGCACGCCTCCAACAAGTCCACCCACTACAAGCGCCGCACCCCGCGCACCAACCCGGACGACGACACCCCCAAGAAGCGCGAGAAGGTGATCAACCCGCTGGCGAATTTCTTCCTCTCGACCAGCGCCTACGTCCTCAATTTTCTCGGATTGAACACGGGCACCCCCCTGCAGCGGAAACTCTCGGCGCTGGCGCTGGTGCTCTTCGGGATCGCGGTGGTGTTTGCGCTGGTCGTGATGGGGGCGAATGGCATGCGGAATGACCGCGAGGTCATTATCTATGCGGTCGCCACGGGGCTGGCGATGATCCCGGCGTGTTTGGTGGTGGTGTTGACGATTACCATGGCGGCGGGGACGCGGTCAATGGTTAGTCGGAATGTGGTGGTAAGGCGGTTGGAGAGTCTTGAGATGCTGGGGGCGGTGCAGGATGTTTGTTCGGATAAGACGGGGACGTTGACGCAGGGGAAGATGGTGGTGAAGAGGGCTTGGGTGGCGGGCGTTGGGGGGCTGGTGGTTGTGGGTGAGGGGGGTGATGTTTTGGATCCCGAGAACGGGGATGGGGTGAGGTTGGTTTCGGGGCAGGAGGCGAGGGCAGAGAGTGAGATGGAAAAGGGAGCAGACACTGAAAAAGGGGATCGTGGTCAGCCTTGGGACGTGCGCAGGGAGGGCTTGCTGAATGCCCACGGGTCAGGCACCCTGCTGCAGCAGTACCTCAATGTCGCTGCCATGGCGAACCTCGCCCATGTGCATTACTCGGACGAGTCGCACGAGTGGCAGGCCCGTGGCGAGCCCACGGATATCGCCATCCAGGTCTTCGCCATGCGGTTCCAGTGGGGCCGGGAGCGGTGGACGGGCGGCCGGGACCCGGTCTGGACGCAGAAGGCCGAGTATCCCTTCGACTCGACCGTCAAGAAGATGTCGGTGATTTTCGAGAACACCGAGACCTCGGCCCAGATGGTGTTCACCAAGGGTGCAGTCGAGCGGGTGCTGGAGGCGTGTACGCAGGCCGTCTGGACAGCAGGCGCAGACGCCATTCCGCTGGACGAGGAGAAGAGGCAGGAGATTCTGCAGAAGATGGAGGATTTGGCGAAAGAAGGTCTGCGGGTGCTCGCGCTGGCCTGTCGACCCATCGAGTCTCGCGACGAGACGCCCGCGCGCGAGGAGGTCGAGAAAGACCTCACCTTCTGTGGGCTGATCGGGCTGTATGATCCGCCGCGCCCGGAGACGGCGGGGGCGATCGAGGAGTGTCGGCGCGCGGGCATCACGGTGCACATGGTGACGGGCGACCACCCAGGCACGGCGCGGGCAATCGCAGCGCAAGTCGGGATTATCCCGCGCGACATGGGCAGCGTGGCGCAGGACGTCGCCGACGCAATGGTCATGACGGCCAGTCAGTTCGACCGACTGAGCGACGAGCAGATCGACGAGCTGCCGACCCTACCACTGGTCATCGCCCGCTGCGCGCCCACCACCAAGGTGCGCATGATCGACGCCCTGCACCGACGCGGCCGGTACGCCGCCATGACCGGCGACGGGGTCAACGACTCCCCTTCCCTCAAACGGGCGGACGTGGGCATCGCCATGGGCCAGTCCGGCTCCGACGTCGCCAAGGACGCTTCGGAATTGGTCCTGACGGACGACAACTTCGCCTCGATCATCAACGGTATCGAGGAAGGCCGCCGCATCTTCGACAACATCCAGAAGTTCGTCCTGCATCTGTTGGCAGAGAACGTCGGCCTTGCCCTGACCTTGCTCATCGGGCTGGCCTTCAAGGACGAGAATGGCCAGTCCGTCTTCCCCATCGCGCCGGTGGAGATCCTCTGGATCATCATGGTCACTTCTGGCCTGCCGGACATGGGACTGGGGATGGAAGTGGCCGCTCCGGATATCATGGACAGACCGCCGCAAAATGTACGTTAACCCTAACCCCCTTCCCTTTACCCTCTGCTTTCCCCAACAATAATCCAAACTAACGCCCCTCAACAGAAACAAGGTATCTTCACCTGGGAAGTCATAATCGACACCCTCGTCTACGGCGTCTGGATGGCGGCCCTCTCCCTCTCGGCCTTCTCGTTGGTCCTCTTCGCCTGGGGCGACGGCAACCTGGCGACGGGCTGCAACAGCGACTACACCTCCGCCTGCGACACGGTCTACCGCGCCCGCGCCACGACCTTCGTGTGCATGACCTGGTTCGCGCTGTTCCTGGCGTGGGAGATGGTCGACCTGCGCCGGAGCTTCTTCAGCTTGCCGGCGACCGGATCCGAGGATCATTCCAGCACGAAAACCTTCATGACCAGACTCCGCAGCTGGCTCGCCTCCCTCCGCCGCAACCGCTTCCTCTTCACGGGCATCATGATCGGGTTCGTGACCACCTTCCCGATCCTGTACATCCCTGTCATCAACGACGTGGTCTTCAAGCACATCGGGATCTCGTGGGAGTGGGGGGTGGTGTTTGTCGAGGCCGGGCTGTTCTTCGTGGGCGCGGAGGGGTGGAAGTGGACCAAGCGGGTGTATTTCCGGCGGGCGGCCCACCGGCAGCGACAGGAGAGAAAAGGGGGTGGAGGGTTGATGGAGAGGGAGGAGAAAAGGGATTTTAGTCGGTATACCACGATGAGTCGCGAGGAGGGCGGGGTCATGCAGAAGGAGGTGTCGATGGTTTAGATTTTCTTCTCTTGCGCGAGGTAGAAGGGGTGAGGAACCTACGGGGGAGCATAGATTCTCTGATAGATTGTGCATAGTTTTCTTAATCGTGGTGACTGATGAATCGTTGATATCTTCCCATTCGAGGTTTCGGGGAAGAGTTGCCGAATGCTTTTCTGATTCTCATTTGGCAGCTAGCTCTACTTTTTGGATGATTTTATATCCGTGGTTAGAAAGATCCTTTTGTACCTCTATTTGCCAAAAAAACAAAAAGAAAAAAAAAACAGAAGAAGAAAAGAAAGAGGAAGAAACCGATTTACTTTAATCACTCCTTTTCAAGTTGAGATAATGCTCTTGATCTAGACTGTGGAACTTTCGCCAGTCTAATTCGACCGTTTATGTGGTCACAATTGAAAAACCACGTAAGTATTGAGATCCAAATCTGAAAACAAAGCTGAAAACAAAGCCGAAAAGCAAGTCAACAAATCATAATCGTGTCCGTCATCAAACATGCATGTCATAAAGACTGGCTGGACACAAAGTAGACTTTCTTTTGGATTCTCCAACTTCGTACCAATTATTGTCCCCAGAGTTTGCCCCTTGTAAGCTGGTCAGCCCATAATCTCCCTTCCTGGTTGAAGGCCGAGTATTTAGGGTAGATTGATGAGTGCTGGCAACAATGGACTCAGTTTCCCCGCGAACCCTGTCTGAGGACCGACTGCTGACTGGTCTACTCTCTATCTTGTCTTCCCACACGAGGCAGGAGACCCACTTCGCCAAGGAGGGCATAAGGCTTTCCTGTCGATCATGATTTCACTTAAGGTCTAATATGGTGCTTCCATTGGCTTGCTGAACAGCCAGAAGTGTGAGGTTGATTACATGGAGAGTCTATACCCTTTCTTTTACCCCTGAAAAAAAGGTATCTACGGTGAAATATCGCGGTAGTAAAAGCTCCAATCTTACCCGAGATCGACATCGATGGATTGTGGGCGGACGAGTGCTGTGAGGCTCATCCATAGCTATAACATCAGCTCCATGTATGGATGAACTTGAAATCCTGGCCAAGGAGAAGATAATATAGCTTACGAAGTTCTGGTTGGAATGCTCCGAGCGCGTTCACCATGCTACAATCGCAGTTTTCACTTGGTTGAAGCCCCCTTCTTCAACCCAACCGCACGGCCACGGCCACACGTATTACGAATTTCTGCGTACTGACCTCGCGCAACTGAGTTCGAAGCTCGGTCTCCGCCTCAACCACCTCAGCCACCTGCTTCACAGAGTCTCCGAGATCATCATCCACTTCAGTGCCAGCGCTATCACCTTCCAAAACCAACCGCTCCTCGACCGGATCCCACCACCATACCGGCGCCCCCGCTACCGTCTCGAGCATCCACTGTCCCTGTGACTCCGGCAAGGGCTCGCCCACAACCAAGAACACCTGCTCCGTCCGGTAGAATCCACACATCACCTCGGTCACCACTCCCGGTTTCGCCTCCTGCGCCACCAGCGCCGTGGCCGGCAGCGCCAGCCGCCTCATCGCCGGGGCGGTTTGACTAACCTGCCGATGATCGAGATCTGGTTGGAAGAGCCGGTCCCAGGGTTCGGTGAGAAATGCCTCAATGTGGTTGGGGGAGATGTAGAGGGGATTCTGGAGGGGGTCGACTGGGTGTGTGAATAACACACTTCGAGTTCTGCTGCTGTTGTGACCAGCGTCTCCCTCGGCATCGCCACCGCCGTTCTTCCGCGAGGTGCTATCGTTGGGGTACTCGTCAAACCCCGACCCCCTCAGCAGAGGAAGAACTAACCCCCTCGCTTCGCGACTCACGGCCACTAGAGGCACACAGACCACTACCGGGTCGAGGCGGTCGTGGTGAAACTCGAAGGAGAGATTCAGGTCTTCGTTGTCGCGATCATACTCTGGGTCCATCGGGGTAAGACGTCGAGGATCCCAGTAGCCGCGGTGCGGACGGTAGTGGCAAAGCCGTTGGTGGCGGAAAGTGTCGTTGATCAGAGACGACAGGGCGAAACGCCAGATTTGGTTGCGGAGCTCACCAGGGAGGAGCGGGAAGTATGTGAAGGATTCGGTGGACATGCTGGAAGGTATGGTTTGTTTTCAGCTTGTTGGTTTGCCTGTTTTTTTTGGAAAGCGGGGGTGGTAGAAAAGAGAAAGAGAGGCGGTTGTCATGTGTGTGATATAGTGAGGACGAGACTGAGAGACACGATCCAACATGTGAGTTATGTGAGGTGTAGGTGTGAGAGAGAGTAAGAAAATGAAGTTGACGATGGCCCCCACTCATTTTCAACAAGCGCTAAGCTTCGACTTAGCCGCTGTCTTGGACCTCTTTGCCACCGCCGCCGCCCCCATAAAGCCCTTGACTGCCATACTGAATCTTCCAGGTCCCTGGAATTCTTGCACATGTAGTGATCAGCTTGTAATCTCCTGTCTACACGTCTCTAGGGCAACTAGAAATGAGGCCACTTGCTCCTTTCCTTAATCTTCCCAATTGCAAGGGGAAAACAGTGGGCTTCTTATATAGGGTAAACAGGCCTTCTCCTTCTCAGAATTTATATTGGGTGAACTAAGATTGAGAATTACTCAATACATACAATGGTTCCCATATAGATCAAACATCAACCCGTGCATTTCAGCACTCACTAATCCCTCAACTTGATATCACACGGGAAGTTCAGATACCCCAGACACCCCAGACACTCCAACTCCCGATCCAGCTTTCGTCCCCTTCGGACCCATAGACCTGTGTGGTAGATGCCGTGCCGAACACAGTCGAGTTCCTTAGGATGCGGCCGTAGTCACGGCGGAGAGGATTCTACCGGTCACGTCGCCGGTCCAGGCGGCCATTGGGATGAGGAGGTCCTTGTTGATGATGATGGACGGCAGATCGAAGGGAAGAGGGGTGTAGGGATACGGGGCCACATCCTCTTCAGATGGGTCTGGTGCTTTAGGGAGGTGAACTCGTCGAGGTTCATGTCTTCGGTGATATTCCAGTGATTGACTCGATATCTGGAAGTCATGAAGTCTTCTTCTTCTTCTTCTTCTTCTTCTTAACCGGCCGACTCCTCTGACAAGTCCCCTACTCCGATTGGTCATGTAAATCTGAGCCTCTTACACGTGTCTCTCCTCGTCATCGGTACTAGTCTTACCACTTGATTTGATCTGGTACTTATCGTTTATTCGGGTCATAATTTGGCACGACGGTAGGCACTCCCCCGTGAGGGTAGGGAAAGAGGAAGCACCGCACAGCGAATCTCTTTCTATGAGCCCGTCAGGCCGAGGAACACCGCTGAGACAGGAGCTGTCAACTTACCGGGGGAAAGCCATTTTGCTCGATTTAGTCTTTCTTGAGGTTGGCGTTTTTGGTGATGCTAGGAGCATGGCTGGCGCTTTAATGATTTAAGCCAAGAACGGCCCTTAAATAGACTCTAGAGCCGGGAGTAAACTAGCATTACGTTTGTAGAGGAGGGCAAGGCTGCTACGCTCGCAACATTCTGACACCCCGGGGGGGTGCACTAGGGAGTATTTTTGTGGGGCATCAACATTTTCAACGATTGCGTCTTGTGTGCGATAATGATGGCTATAACAGACGGGTCTTATCATTACCTTGTCACACAGGAAACAGTCTTATCAGCGCATTACCCTCTTATCTCTCATGCAGCGCCCCCGCTCTCTCCGCACGTGGAAGGCGAGAGATAAGGCTGGATGGCTCTAGTATAAATAAGATCGACGCCTCTTTCTCCGCATTTCGGTTGATCCTCGGCCTTGGTGCGGTTGTGCTCTTCCAAAAATCATTGAAATAGAATCATCGTCTTCTTTCCGACCAAAGTTATCTTGGATCTATCAGCAGCTTTTATCAAGTCAGATGAAATGAGTGACTCCGAAGCATAATGTCAACAACCACAACAACCAAATCGAAATCTAGCAGAGAGAACCGCCAAGGCCGTCGCTTCCGGACGGGCTGTAAGACCTGTAAGTCGAGACGGGTATGGCCCCCCTCCCTTCCATGTTTTCATTTGTGTGTAGAAAGTTGACCGTGGGGCTGATCCGCAAGCAAAGATCCAATGCGATGAAACGAGACCAGCGTGCAACGCTTGCGTGAAGCAAGGTCGCACGTGTCCCGGATATCAGCGCGAGTTCAAATGGTCGACTAAGCATGAGGTTTCTTCGGCGCGTGTACGGAGGAGGACGGCTGGGAGCGAGGGAGGGGATTCAATAACAGGCGTGGCGGGGGAAAGTCCCGAGTCGACGGGCTCGACGATGGAATTAGAGAATAAGCAGTTGGAGGAGGCATTTGATGCTGTGTCTGAGCTGTTAGCGTCGGAGGGGGTTGGAGATTGCAATGATGTTGGCGAGAATGGTGGAATACCAACTGTCGGGAGTTTGGATGGACTGGCGGAGTTGTATGGGAGGATCTATGGGGATAGCTATGGATGGTTGATGGGGCTGGATGAGGATGTTCAGGCTCAAGCTCAGGCTCAAGTTGTGTCGCAAGGACAGGAGGATTACCCAGAAGATGCTCAGGCAGATCCTCCTGTCAGCGTCCTGGAAGAGGATGAAGTGGATGAGCCAGCCGCATTCGAAGCACTCCTCCAGGGCGATGTTCTCGCTCGCGAGAATGATGTACCACAACCCATCCTCTCCGTCCCAACCATGACGGAAACCACCACTTTCTTGATCGAATACTGGTTCAAGAACGTGTGTTCGATGTGGTCGAGCTTCGACTCGGACCGCAACCTCATCCGCAAGCTGGCGTCTCACACATGGAGCCACAACGCCGCCGTCTTCCACAGTCTGCAGACCATGTCAGCCCTACACCTGTCCGAGCAACTGCCTCACCTCCACGCCACAGCCACCACCTCGTGGACCGCAGCTATGCAGTCCATCCAGCAGGAGCTAGCCTCCTTCACGCAGCACAAAACCTCTCCACCGCAATTCCCCACAGGCCTCCTCCTTGCCCTCGCCGGCATCGGCACGACCACCTGCTGGACCGACAGCCAGCAACTGGGGATTCCCCTTCTCCAGAAGATGAAAACCATTCTGGCATACTACAACCAGCCGGGCATGCTCAGCGCGAGCACCACGGACCGGACGTACCTCGAGTTCTTCAACGACAGCTGCGCCTACTGGGACATCTTGTGCCGCGTGGTCACCGACGAGCCGGATGCCACGACCGCTACTACCACCCTCATCGGCCCGATCCCCGGTTCTTCTTGGATCACAACAACGACCACATTCACCTCCCCCCACCCCTGGGTCGGCGTCTCCCGCCACATTCTGGATCTCTTCGCACACACCATCCTCCTCTGCAGACGCCACAGCAAGCGCCTCCGCTCCCCCAGCCACGCCACCCTGCACTCCCTCCAAGAACTCATCCGCGACATCCACGCCGCCCGCTCCCTCCACCAGACCCTATCATCCCTGACCCTCCAGTCCAGCAACCTCACCGAAACGGGGGACGCACAGACCCCGCTCTCTCATCTAGTAGATGTCGCCGAGGGCTACCGCCTCGCCGCCCTGCTCCATCTATATCAAACCTTCCCGGATCTCCGGGACGACCACACGCGAGAGCTGGGTCCCGAGGAGATCTCGACTTGGAGTCTGCAAACCCTGGCCCTCGAGTTGCTGGACCTGGTCAAAAAAATCCCATTGGAGTCGGGCTCGCGGGTAATTCAACCGCTGTTATATCTGTCCATCGCGACGGGGTTGCGGGCCCCGGACTCGTCGAGTGCGGAAGGGCCGCTCAGCCCGATGGCCCTGCAAGTGAGTCAGGCAAGGCGGGTGGTGATGCAGCGGGTCAGTGTGCTGGAGTATAGTCTGCCCTCGAAACCGATCCGGGTGCTGAAGGCGCTGATTCAGAGGATCTGGGAGGTCGGGGATCGCGAGGTGGAGGTGGGTGTTGTGGGCGGGATGGGGAAGCATTGGAGTGAGGTGATGGAGGAGGGGAGGTTGAGGACTATGTTTGGGTGATTTACGGGGTCTTCGTCTAAACAGGATTGATGATATCTTTGTTGCTATGTCTGCATGGATGACAGGAAACGTATAATACTTGGCTCTGTATCGGCGAAGCACACGCCTTAACTTCTGAGCTTTCATAATTATATGAGAACTGTACGTACCACCCAACTTGGAAAGCTAGATTTAGTTCGAGCCGACGGTATCCGAGAGCCACCGTGACACGTTCTCGCATCATGTTAACCTAAATTCAATATATCAAAACAATTCGGGGTTGGCTGCCGTTCCTTCCGCCGTGGATCAGGCAAGCCTCCATCGCGGAGGGAAACTCAAAATTAATTTCCTGGCCGTTTCCCGGACCCGAGCCTGTACCCACTACGAGTGGAAAGCATTACGTTCAAGGATAATGTCATGGTGGCTGCATTGGTCTCTATGTAACTCGTGAAGTAAGAAATGCTATCCCGGCTGTGTCCGTTCTTCCTCATGCACTCAACCCCTTCAGGTTAATACTCTTCGGTCGCTCGATGGGCAAGCCCAGTGCACGATCCCAGATCAGCTGCACCAGTGGGCCCAGAGCCCGACTCACGCCGAAGGTCACCGTGTAGTAGAGCGGCTGCGTGAAGCCGTAGTGGTAGAAGAGCACACCCGACGCGGCATCGACGTTCGGATGAGGGTTCTTGGTCTGCATATTTGTCAGTTTGACAACTTAATCAAGTCCGGGGAGAGGGGCTCCCACCTTTCCATGTTCCGTCAACACGCCCGGCGCAATCTCCGACGTCTGCTGCACCAGCTTGAACACCGGGTTGGACTGCACGTCCGGCCGCGCCGCCGCGAAGTCCATCAGCGCCTGGAACCGCGGGTCCGGCTGCCGCAGCACCCCATGTCCGTAGCCAGGCACCACCCGGCCCGACCGCAGCGTGGTCCACAGATACTCCCGCACGGCCTCGTCCGTCGCGCCCGACCCAATCTCCGTCTGCATCGCCAGGATCCACCGCAGCACCTCCTGGGCGGCCAGCCCGTGCAGCGGACCCGCCAACCCCAACAGGCCCGCGCTGTAGCTGAGGAACGGATCGCTGAGGGCACTGCCCACCAGATGCGTCGTGTGCGCGGACACATTGCCGCCCTCGTGGTCGCCGTGCAGCGCCAGGTACAGGCGCAGCAGATCGTGGAAGTCGCCGTGCGTGGTCGGGTCCCCTTTGCCCAGCAGGGCGGCGAAGTTGGCCGACCAGTCGAGCGCGCCGTCCAGCGGCTGCGTGCCGACCTGGTCGACGGCGTCCGGGCGGAAGACCAGCGCGGCGACGCGCGGGATCTTGGCCAGCAGGGCGATCGCGTCGTCGAAGGTCGGCTCCCAGTACTCGGTCTTGGGCAGGCCGCGGGCGTACTCGCGGGCGAAGCGGGATTCCGTGTTGAGGGCGGCCACGGCGATGGACAGCTGCGTCATCGGGTGCATCTCCCGCGGGAAGGACTTGATGAGGTCCAGCAGGTGCTGCGGCAGGTGGGACTGCTCGGCGAGCTGGCGCGAGAAGGCCCGCACTTGGGCCGTCGTCGGCACCTGGCCCGTCAGCAGCAGCCAGAACATCGCCTCCGGGAGCATCTCCGTGCCCACGGGTCCCTTGGGTAGCTCCCGCTGGCAGTCCTTGATCGTCTTCCCGTGGAACCGGATCCCCTCGTTCGGGTCCAGCACCGACCCCTCCCACAGGAGCGCCTTCAGACCCCGCTGCCCGCCGATGACGTTGCCCACGGTCACCTCGCCGATGACCTGGTCGCTGCGCGCTTTCACTTGTTTGAGGAGGTCGCGTTTGGCGGGGATGACGGCCTTGAGGGCGGTTTTGAGATCGGGTTCGGTGGCATAAGAGCGCCGGAAGAGGGGGGACTGGATGGGGTGGAGGGTCAGATGGTCAGATGGGGAGTTAATCACGCAGATACCAAGGGAGACGCACTTGGGTCAGTCGCGAGGCATAACGGGTGGTGGTACGTATAGGGAGAGCCATGTTGTGAGTCTGTGTTGTAAACAATCGCTTAAGAGAAGTCGAAAGGAGGAGTCAAGATCCTGTCCTGACTGTTGGGGTGAGAGTGTTGTTCTGCGGGAGAGGTGTGAAAGTGTGCGGTGAAGGTGAAGGTGAGGGTGAAGGTGAAGGTGTGAAGGTGCTACCAGGGGAGACAAGGGGAGGGGAAATGGCCCTCAGGCTACCTCGACACAGGCGCAGATATACCTAGTACTGAGTCGGACTAACTAGCCTCGGCCTTGAGAGCGGTTGGACGCGGAGATCAATACCGAGAGTCCGACCGAGGCAAGGGAGAGGAGACGGCTGCATGCGGTCAGTCCATTCACCGCCGTACAGCCAGGGGTATGTTATGTGCCTGCAATCATGGGCAACCGGAGATATGTACGTCGCCTCTTTATTGATGCGCCGATCATCAATTCACATCACCTAATAATTGCGTCGGTCTACCTTAGCCTTTCACAATAGCCTCCCAACTGAGTTGCGGCGGTGACCAGCACCATGGTTCGGATGAGGATGGAAAGTCTCTTTCTTCTGTCTTGTGTCTGGAGACTGTCGACAAGCAACATGCTTCCTAATCATATCCCAACAGTGACCTGTAGGCTGTAGTCGACATCACAATGGAGGTGATTCTGGGATGGATTCTGTCAGACCACTTCTTAGTGATTGTTAGTGATTCTCCACCCACCGGGTCCACGGTGGATCTTCTCCCCCTCTTCTCCGTGCGGGGTAACCCCAATATGGCAAGCCCGATCTGGGCAGCCCATTACCGCCTGGTTCCTCAGGCATAAGGGTGTCTGACTCAGGCTCTAAGGCATCGTTAAACGCACCGCCTCACATGTTTACGTCATCAATGGCCTCACCGGCGGCTTCCTTGTCCCTGCTGAGCCACATCTCTCTGATTGGCGCCAGCCACGCCTCAGGCAGAGATTTCACTGCCCACCTGAGCCAATCATCGCCTCCGAAAAAAAAGTCCCCCGCCGCCCGCCTCGATTTTTCTCTCCCATCTCATTGTTTTCTCCCGTCCCCCTCCTCCTTCATCTTACGCTGTGTATCCTCTCCACTCTTCTTTTTCTGTGTTTTTGGTGTTTGGAACGCATCCTCCAGGAGGATTGCTGCTGTGTTGTTTGATTTGTGGTTGTATAGTTCTTTCCATTCAGCTTCTTCTTCTCTTATCTCTCTCACCTGCTCCGACGAGGCTGAACGCCCCTCTCCGCCCCCCTCAAAAATCACGGCTTACGGCTTGTGCTGGTTGGAAGCCTTCACCCACAATAGAATACCCCCTGCATATTTAGAATGCCTCACCCCGAATCTCCCACCCCCGCCATGCAGACCGCTGTCTCCAAAACCCCCTCCGGGGTCCCCCCCACCTACGAGGAGATCGGCTCCCTCATCCACACCATCTTCAACGCAGAGACCTCCCAGCAGTCCCTCGATGCCGCCTACGCCCTGACCAACCTGCTCATCCAGAGTGTTGGTGCCGCCGGCTTCACACACTACAATATCCTGCCCCAGATCCAGAAGGCCGCTGTCGATAAGAAGAATGGCGCTCTCCGCGAAAGCGCCATGCTGATCCTCGGCGCCATGTTCGAACGCTTCCCCCGCGAACACCCTCTCAGCGAAGTCGTCTTCCTGCTCCAGGACGGTGGTCTGCTGCACCTCGCCCTCGATTTGCTGGCCGATAAGGGTGCTGTCGTCCGCGAGGCTGCTCAGTACGCCATCGACGCTCTCTTCGCCTGCCTGAAGGCTGAAGCCCTCGCCAACGGCCTCCTGCCCGCCCTCTCCGCGTATCTGAACCGCAACACCGCCAAGTGGCAGGGCTTCGTCGGCGCCTATGCTCTCATTGAGAAGATGGCCGTGAAGGCCCAGATGGGTGCGGGTTCCCTCGAGGAGGAGCGCGAGAAGGATTTGCTGCGCGAGGCCATGGGCAAGACCCTCAAGGACCTGATTCCTTTGGTCGAGGCCGGTATGCACGACTTGAAGAACGAAGTTGCCAAGCAGGCTATTAAGTCTATGAACGCCATCACTACCCTGCTGTCCAACGACGACGTCGCCCCCCGTATTCCTCTCCTGATCAAGACCATGGAGCAGCCCTCCGAGCAGACCCTGCAAAAGGCCATCCATGCCTTGTCCCAGACCACTTTCGTCGCCATTGTCACCTCCCCCGTTCTCGCCCTGCTCACTCCCCTTCTCGAACGCTCGCTCAACGCCCCCACTACCCCCCAGGAGACCCTCCGCCAGACCGTTGTCGTCGTCGAGAACTTGACCAAGCTGGTCCACGACCCCGCTGAGGCTCGTACCTTCTTGCCTAAGCTGAAGCCTGGTGTGCAGCGCGTCAAGGACCGTGCCTCTCTTCCTGAGGTGCGTGAGCTCGCCACCCGTGCTTTGGACGTCATTGAGAAGGCTATGGCCGATAAGGACGTTGCTGCCGGCGTGGTCGTTAAGATCACCCCCGAGGAGGTTCGCACTGTCTTGGAGGCTAAGATCCAGGAGCAAGGCGGCCTGGCCCACCCCGAGCTGGTGACTCTGTTCGAGCTCGGCAAGAACTACGTCGCGGAGATGGTTCGTGAGGATGTCAACTGCCGCATGCTTGACCGCATCCCCACCTGCGTCGGTCCTTACCTGCGCGGTCTCTTGGCGGAGGATAAGCACGACGCAGTCGCGGCAGCCCTGGAGGCCCACTTCATCGAGGAGGATCACCGCAAGTATGGTCGCCCCGAGCCCGAAGACCCCAACGAGGTTGAAATTGTCAACGCCAACTTCTCTCTGGCCTACGGCGGTATGTTGCTGCTCTCGCACACCAACCTTCGTCTGCTGAAGGGACACCGTTATGGTCTGTGTGGCCGCAACGGTGCGGGCAAGTCCACTCTCATGCGCAGTATCGCCAACGACAAGCTGGAGGGCTTCCCCCCGCAGGATGTCGTCCGCACCTGCTTCGTCGAGCACAACCAGGGTGAGGATGCCGATTTGAGCATTTATGAGTTCGTTGTGAAGGACCCCAAGATTGCTGCG